GGAGGGAGGGAGGGAGGGAGGAAGACCTCCCACCACCCCCACCACCTTCCTGCTCCTTCCTGGTGGAGCCATTCTATAGCTGCACCCTCTTAGCCGATCATGGGCCTGACCCTTGGCCTCTATCTCTCAGCCAAGCAGGGCATACAAGGCTTTAGCAGCCATGTACACAGAGCAGTCCAAGAAGAAGTTAGAGATTAGCATGCTGCTCTTATGAGTTACCAGAATTGCTCACAGGTGAATCAGGAGTTCTTTGTTTATAAACATAGGAATGCTCAGCGAGGCTGGAAGCTGGAAAAAAAAATTGCCAGTGACTTGCAGTGGGCCTAGACTTCCCTATGATTTTGAAAGCCCTCACAGGTGGCTGGTGTTTGGCCACCTCTAGCAACATCTACATAGCATCCAAATCCAGCATTTGGCAAAGATACTAGACGGCACATTGTTTTTAAAAGAAAGCCCCTTGCTGAAATGGGTAATTGCGCTCTGATTGAGTCACAGGCTGTTGTTGATCTGGTGATTAAATGACAGCCTGCAAGGTCTTCATTACCATTTTTTGCAAATAGATTAAGGAATTAATTTTGAGAGACCCCAAAATTAGGACTCAGAAGTGAACTTAGCAACATATGGCTGGGGGTGGGGGAGATCTCTGAGATGCACCCATGAAAACAGAACCAGCCGAGGGACTCTGATCATCAGTTGAATCTGGCGACAGAGTGAGGGGGTGGGAACAGGGGAAGGACAAAGAAACAGCAACCTCCCTCCCAGCCCCGCACAATCCTTTTTGGCCTCGGGGCTAAGCAATGTCTTGCCAGAAACAGGATGATGGGCCCTCGGACAGCTTTTGAAAGGGACAAAACAAACCCACTGAAAGGGACCAAGCTAGCCCACACGAGTGCTGGCTATGGTGGCTGGAGGGCTCCTTGGGATTCTGAGGCACCCACCCTGACCATTCCCTGCTCCAGAGCAGGAGTGGGTCCCTTGCCTGTCTCCGTCCTCTTGCGGGTGACCTTCCAAACCAGACCTCTGCTCCATGTGGGGAAGAGACTCTTCTGGACTGGAGTGGCCTACGCATAGCCATCATCGGAGTTCTGCTGAGGATAGTAAGGAAGGATCTCCTCCCCGAAACATCCCGCATGTCTCCTGAACTTCCTCCCAGTTTACTCAGTGTGGCCTTGCTAGTTCTGAACAAGCTCTGAGGTGGAGGCTTCCTCTCCTGAGAAACTGAGGGAGTCTCTGACTGCCAGAGGAGAAGTTGGGTTGTCGTTGGCACTGACAAAATGTGCAGAAACAGAAGAGAGAGAGAGAGAGACAAACCACCCTCACCAAGGAATCTGGAGCCAAAGGAGAGCACAGTTAATGGACACTCTTGTCATTAAAGAATCAGTGAAAGCAGAAACTGATGAAAAACTGGGATTAAAGCTTTAGGGTGACTATCCTTCACACAGTCAAATTATCTGCCTGCTGTCTTAAGCTCTGCAAAACAGCTGGTATCGTCTTCCTATCGCTTGCAACTCCCGAAACATTTCATTGGCCGCCAATCCAATTGAGCAGAAGTTAAACATAGAAAAATCGACTCAGTCCAACCATCTTCATTTTTAAAAATGAGAAACCAAGTAATTGTAGATTATGCAACTATTTAATCTGATTTAAAACCTAACATCAACCTCCTGCTTTATAATGCGCTTGGTAAATTGCCTTGTGATGCGCATGCTAGGCTACTCAGTTAGAGGGGCGTCCTTCTCCTCCCTCATTAAGCATCTCCTAATCCTCGCAGCCTCTGATTGCATCTTGTTCAGTGGAAGGATTGTACCTGGAGATACAGGGATTTCTATTCTGAGAGCAGGAATGGATTGAGTAACATTTGATGGCACATCCAGACTTTCTGAGTGTGCAGGATTTAATCAGCCATGCAAAGAGCCTTTCTATCTTTCTAGTCTTTGGAGCACTGCATGCCTGCTGAGGGGGCTCTTTGGCACAGGGAAGGGAGAGCCAAAGGCTGTCACAAGAAAATCCAGCACGGAGGCATTTCAACTCAGGGCGTCTCAAAGGAAGGAAGGAAGGAAGGAAGGAAGGAAGGAAGGAAGGGAAAGCAAATGTTAATATTAACTGTGTGCCGTCAAGTCAATTTTGATTTACGGCAACCCTTTTTTCCCCAGGACCTTCTAGGTGGAGAGCACTCAGAAGGGGCTTACTATTCCCTCCTTCTGGGGGCTCCCTGGGACTGTGCAGCTGTTGCCCAAGGCCACATAGGCCAGCTCTTCTCCCAGGAGAGGCACAATGGGGAATTGACGCCCAAGGTCTGCAGCCAGATACCTAAACCTCTCTCTCTCTCTCTCTTTCTCTCTCTCTGTGTGTGTGTGTGTGTGTGTGAGAGAGAGAGAGAGAGAGAGAGAGAGAGAGAGAGAGAGAGAGAGAGAGAGAAGCCAAAGGAGGAGAGAGAATGCTAGAGAGTGGTTGAAAGCTCTCCTCTCCTTTTAGCAGTCTCCACTTACTTTTCTTAGGAGGAAACCTAATCTCCTCTGTTGGGAATAAATCGGGAATCTGTGGCACAGCTTTCCTCTGGGCCCAAGTACAATGCTCTGGGGCTCTTGCATTCACTAGTGCCAAGAAATTAAATGCACTGGATAGAAATATGAAGCTCTCGCTCTACAAAGCTGAGCTGCAGCTGGCGAAGGAGGAGACACTTTGTGAGGCACAGAGAGCATTTATCATGGCCCCCAGACGAGTTATTGAGCTGTCTGTGAAAAACAGGAAAGATCCCCGCAGAAGGCTGCAGCAGAAGCCCTTGATTGATAGAGGGAGGCGATGCAAAGCTGCCTGATGGCCACTCTGCAAAATAAAGGAGAGGAACTCAAGGTCCTTCGTGACATTCCCTGACCACAGATGAACAGCTACTTTATTACCACACAGAAAAAGGTTGCCCCTTGCTCCAGACTTGGCCACCTTCCGATGCACACGGTTAACTTCTCCAACAACTCCTTGTCTGCTTAACATGCCCGCTCCCTTTATAGGATTTAAAGGTGCAGCAGTTAAAACATTGCCTCTCCTTTCCCCGTGTCTCCATTTAAGAGCAGCAAATGGAAATAATCTGACTGATCTCTGCCATGGAGTCATCATCAGCGAGAGGACAAGCTGCTCTGAGACATTCAGGGCCCTGTCAGAAATAGCTTGGAATTCCATCTCAGTGGTCCAAAATCTAGACGTCCCTGGTCTTTCTGAGGATTTTTATTGGTCTTAAAGTTGTTCTAGGCCAGGAAGGAAAATAGAGTGCTAAGAAAAAGGACTAGAGGCATTAACTTGCAGCTGCTGGTCTCTGTAGCTGCTCCACTGCCACGGATCCCAGGCATTCCTTCTGAGTTGACTTGGGACAAAAGAGGAGAAATCAGGGAAAGAAGCCCAGGATTGCTGCACATGGAGAAGCAGTCATGATCATCTCCGGCAGGTTTCCAAACAACTTGGGCTGAACGGTAACTATGGGCTTTTGATTTTGTCTTCCAAAATCTATGCTATACTGTTGTTGATGACAGTGGGTGGAGGTGGGGGTGGGTCCAGAGGAGTTTATTTACCCAACATCACACAAAGCTCCTCTGTGCATCCGAAGAGCTGAGCCACTGGCGTTAACACAGATGAAGGGCAGCAGAAACTGTGGAAGAGGTGCCAACAGGGAGACACGCCTGTTTGCTTGTTGCTACACACTTTGCTTATTGGCATGTAATTGCAAAATTAAATATATATATTTCAGAAGGGAAAAAACCACCCGACATTGTTCAAGCTTTTCATGGCCACAGTAACCTACCACCATCCTAGGACTAGCAGTAAAGCAAAAGAGAATTACAGCTTCCTTAATACAGTGACGGGTTGGTACACCGAGAGAGGTGTCTTTCCTTGGAGAGCTTTATCCGACTCAGAGAGACCCACTCAAAGAAGCCTTCCCTTCATTTAGGGACAAGAGAACAGGCAGAGCTGCACAGAAGCCAACCTGCTTCTTGGAGGGATCCGATGGGCAGCCCATGAGCCCTAGAGGCTCTACCGCTTATCAGCCACGGAACCACCGAGTTGTGATTCAGATCCACACAAGAGTCATTCCCAAATGATGATATTCCCTCTTGACTAATAATGTCGAAGGGCAAACCACCCCATTGTGGAAGGGTTACATGGAAGCTGCAATGGTCAGGAATGTATTATTGGCAATTTTAGCTCAAAGAAATCAATAAACAAGGTATTTAATGGTCCCGACCTTCCAGGATTCCAGAAGCAACCATGGAATTCTACAACAGACACAACCCTGGTACTGTACCTGAAAGGAAGTCATAGAAAGGAGGGGCAGGGCCTGTTTTTTAATGGGCAAACCACCCCATTGTGGAAGGGTTACATGGAAGCTGCAATGGTCAGGAATGTATTGTTGGCAATTTTAGCTCAAAGAAATCAATAAACAAGGTATTTAATGGTCCCGACCTTCCAGGATTCCAGAAGCAACCATGGAATTCTACAACAGACACAACCCTGGTACTATACCTGAAAGGAAGTCATAGAAAGGAGGGGCAGGACCTGTTTTTTATTATCCCAGAATGCAGGACATGTAATAAGGAAGGCTCAAGGAAGCCAGATTTTGGTTGAATATAGGGAAAAACTCGTGCCGCCCATGACCTCAGGGGGAGGTGATGAGCAGGGCTCCAACGCTGGAGGCCTTCAAGGGCAAACTGGACCGCCTTCTGTCAGACCTGCTTTGATCTGGATTCCTGTCTTGAGCGGGGGGGGGTTGGACTGGATGGCCTTCGAGGCCCCTTCCCACACCGTGATTCTGTGATTCCAAGAGGAGGAACCCTGAAGCCCTGCTTACTTATAACCACGATGACTCCAGGAAGTATTGTTCCCATTGTTACATACAGCACTGATGTTACCTGTCTGTCATGGGTTTGGAGGGAAAGTTCCATCCTATGGGGAGTGGAAGGCGGGACATCAGGAGGAGGGGCTGTACTGTATAAATATGAGATGCCTGTGTGGTGAAGAAGAGAGACAGTCTGGGAGACACTGAGAGACACTGGGATGAGACGAAGCAGCAGCTGGGAAGAAGAAGCTGTTGTGGGAGTCTGTGTGTCAGACAGGGTACTTCTGTGTGTCAGAGTACCAACCTGATAGGTTCAGGTGTCTGTTGGTTAGCCAGAACTGATAGGTTCAGGGTCTGTGCTTTAAGTTAAGGGTTCTGTGTGAACCAAACTGTATGCTTGTATGAGAGAGAATAAGCCACGTTACTTTATCCTATTCACCTGATTGTTTATTTTTCCCTGTGTGTATTTAAAATAAACCTTATTCTTTTTATTGTTTAAAAATCCATCCCTGGTCTGTGTGACTTCTTAAAGGGAATGGTTGGTGGCAGCTTAGTGTAACTGTGTGACATATCCCAGTAGGTCTGGGTTTGTCACACCCATCAGCTGGTGAAAACCTGTGCAAACCTCTCGCATTCTGCACATGGACACCTGATGCCATCCTCTGCACCAGGGCAGCAACTTTCAAGAAGTTGACGGAGCCGGTTTGGAAGCCTAGATTTCACAAGCGCATCTCAGCTTATCTTCCCAATACCGAACCCCAACACCAGGAAAAGCAGGAAGAGAGAAAGCAGGATGGAGCTGAAACCCCCCAACAAATCCTCTCGAGGGTCTGCTCCAAGCTCTGCCAAGTCCGATATCTGGACCCAGCTACGCATTCTGAGATCCCACCTCACTAGAAGCTGTCAGAAAATGACCTGTCACAAAACAGAGCACGCTAATTTGCCAACTGCTATGGGAGGCATGAAAAACTCCTTGTATGACAATCAAATGCTTTCAGCACTTACGGAATTCCATGTTCTAATGAAGTGCTCTCTGTGATGTATAGTTTGTTGCTCAGTGCACAAAGATCAGGCAGGAAGATGTCACTGGAATTCCTCTTTTGCCACCAAGTCTCCTCCATGCAATCCATGGTCTCAGGATTTAAAACGGTTTAAAATGGCATGTTTCCAAAAACATAGGCACTACAGTATATAACAATTAGATGCATGCTGCCTGACAGGGTACTACAAAAATACCTGGACTGTGGATATTTCACATAAATCCAATGGGAAAGCCTAGTGGATGGTGGTGGTGGTGGGGCATCCACCAGACACTTTAAACACTAAACAGGAAAACTTTTTTTTAAAAAAAGCACCAGTGTAATGCATTGGCATCCAAAATATCTAGCTCCCATCTGGAGTCTGAACAAAGCAGAGTAGAATGTTATCTTTTCTAATATTTTGGATGAGTCTGATATGGCGCCTGTACAATTAGATTTTGCATTAAAACACACAACAAATCTGATTTCTGTGCATTAAGGACTTCTCTGTTAAAAGATATGAACCAAAGAATTAAATATGCTGCAATTCTGCAGCATCTTCCAGTTTGCTTCCTTCAATACTTGACCACTAATATTAGAGAATATTGGATAAAGCTACACTTTGAAGTGAGTATCTCTGAGATGATGGAGAAGCCCAGTTAAACCACAGGTTAGATGATAAAATTCAAAATTGAGTTGTGTTTCTTTACAGGAAAGGGCTGTAATTTGAAGCAAGGGCCTTAATGCTTTCATCCTGAGGCAGCCTATTCTACCGAGGAGAGAGCTGGCTGTTCGCAAGCTAGCGCTCTCTCTCTCTCTCTCTCAAATAACACAGAGGCCCCTGTTTAACCATCGCAGCTTATGAGGGATACCTGCGCTGGGGCCTTGCCACGTCTGGTGACAAGAGAAAGGAACAGGTTGGTTGAGGAGGGTGGCGTGCCGTGAAAGCAGCCGAGAGGCCAGAGGGGAGAGGCTCCCCCTCCTCTTCCAGGGCAGACAGACTGGGTAGCAGTTCTTCTTGAAGGCAAGACAGAGAGCCACGACCGACAGCACAATGGGGCATTTCTGACTTGAGGGGGCCACGGATCTGTGCCTGAATGGCAGAAGGTGGGACCTGGCAGGAGACTGCTCACATCCAAATCCAGACCAATAAGACCATTGTTTGCAGGCTGAGTCAAGCACAAGGTTCAGTGGCTTCCTTCTAAACACACGTGTGTAGAACTGAGGAAAAACCAACTGACAGGCAGCTGGGGGCAGGGGGGGGGGAATCCAATGTAAAAAAAGACATTCACCCTGCCCCACCCCCCACTTCCATTCTGGCATGATTACAACCTTCTCTTTAATAGGCAGCCTCTTCTTTTATGATGCAGAAAACGGACTCTTTCCCAGATTCCTGGAATGAGACGGCCAGCCACACTTTCATGACAGACAGACATGCCATGGGATCATAAATTAGTGATCACAGAGAAGGCTCACTAAGAAGATTGGATGTAAACTTTGGGTCACTTAATTTTTAAGGCTCAGCTAATGGGCTGAAGAAAATTGGATACCGCTTCATAACATAAATTCAGATGTGGGCTTCCCTGCCCATAAATATTAGAATCATTAAATATTATAGCAAATAGGTCTGTTGTAAAATAAAATGATCCAGCTGTAAAACTCATTTCCATGGTGTGGATTCTTCTACTGCCAAAGAATAAGAATTTCACATTTTGTACTAGGAAGTCATAAAACAGGAACAGCATATGTTTAATGTAAGTTTGAGCTGATGGTTAAAAGAGAAATCTGAAACTGATGACTCCCTATAATTTGCAGTTCACAAATGTTGCCTATAAGATGACATGCATCCAGTCTTTCCAGCCAGATTTCCCATATAACACAAACATTCACTAAGAAGGAATGAAATACTCAATGCAATTTGAACATGTAGACAAAGTAACATCCTTTTTTGTTCACACCTTAAATACAGAGGTAGGAACAACAGTGGTAGGTGAGCAAGGGGAAATAAAAAGACAAGGAGGAGAAAATCCCACACAGGATGCTGGCTTGCCAAGCACATTTTAGGGCTCATCCAGATGCAGCTTGTGTTGCCCTTCATGTACACTGATGGTTATCGGCATTTCCCCCACCACCACCATCCAGAAGACACAAGACTTAAACCAGTGCTAACCGTGGCAAAAACCAACAGCAGCAACAACAACAAAACCCTGCTTTCCATACTTTTTCAAAACTGTTTTTGGTGGGTTGGGTTTTGTTTCACTTTGGACTGGTGGAAGTTCCAGGGGCTTTCAATTTTGCACTATTCCACTGAAGCAGCCAATGTACACAGAGATTTCCTATAGAAAATCATTCTGAGGATTTCCTTCAGATTTTTAAAACAGTGGTTTGTGAAGGCAACTGATTTCCAAAGTGAATTATGAGATCAGCAGACATCTTCTGTCATCAGAACCCTTCTATTGAGCATTAATCTGCTAAAGCAAAGGGGGAAAATTCAGCAGACAAAATAATTGTAAAGTTTTTTTAAAGGATTTTTTTAACCAGGGTTTCTCCAAGGTTTTTGGAAGATTTTAAATCTATTTCTAAAAGAGATGCTGATTTCTTGAGAAGACAGGTGGGATCATGTGGGCAGAAACCCTGTTACATTCTACACTTAACCAGCACAAAATGAGAGGCTCAAGTGCTCCCTCTGAACAAGTCCTAAGAGGTGAGATACTCTGGAAACACGCTCGTCCTGCTGAACCCATTCAGGCCAAGAGAGGTTGCTCGTACTCACCCAGCGAAGGATGGCTCCTCGTTCTTTCCGCCTGGTCTGTCTGGGGCAATTCTCTATAGGCTTGTGGTTGCCTCTGGCCAGTGGCTAAAGCTTTTCGTTGGTTTTGGAGGCCCCACTGAACTTCAGCCAGCAAAACAGCCTGAATGGCTTCCATCACCTGTCATGGAGGAAGTTATGGGAGAGGTCGGTGTTAGGCAGTTGTTAATGCCAAGTACACCCTTGCTCCTCACTTCTGCTTCATCCCACTTGCTATTCCCTCCTTTAATGGGACAGAAAGGAGGAGTGTGTTCCTCATTCCCACTTCAAAGCCTGGGGCCATGTCCCTCTCCGGGCCAGGACTGGGAAGGCTGCATTGGCCCAAGGCCCCACGGCTTGCGCTGCTCGGGGGAATGGCAAACAGGCTAAAATTGGACAAAGCAGGGGAGAGAACGTGAGCCCTTCTTGTCCATCAAGACGGACAGCCTGAGGAGTTTTCAGCTACATGCAAGAAACACAGCAGCCCCTTCAAGTGTTCCCTTCCTCTTTTTCTGCTTTGAATGGTGCTATCCCTTGGAGGGCAGGGCACAACAGGACGTGCCTCCAGATTTAGCCAGGAGAGGCCCTTGGGACTGTATCTGGGGAACCATCTAGTTGTGACACTTAATCATAGCCAATAGGCTGAGAAGCTGTTTCAAATAGTTACCATGCTGTTCATTTCTGATATTGTACTGCAATGACCTTCGCATTGAGCAATAAATATTTTGACTGGTTGATTGATTGCGTAGTTGTTGGGAATGCCTCTCTCATGACCTATGAACCTGGTTGGCAGAGTAAAGCACCAAGCGTGCAGGAGGCGGAGAACGCGACGCCCCAGCCCAATCAACCCTCCATGTGCTTGGAGGACCATTCCGAAAGGGAAGGGCTGTGTGCCACCCCCGGGGCTCTCCGGATGCTGCCGACTGCGATTTCTGGCATCCTTTTAGCGACTGGGACTGATGGGGCTGGTAGTCCAACACACCGCTGGAAGACCAAAGCTTGCCCCGCTACGGAAGGGCTGCAATGTCAGAGCCGCACTCTGAGGAGCATCCTCCATTTCTTACCTCGACGGACTGGTCTCTCCAACAAGAAATAAGTTTGGCAAGCAAACTATTATCCAGTGCAGAAGGATGAAACCCAAAGGTGCCTGAAAACAGACGGGACATTATTTGTCAGCCAGCCTCTAGTTCACACTGAACCAGGTAGATGTTCCAGAGAAGACAGAGCCATTTCAATCAGTGACACTTTCAGAGATGGCAGCGAGACAAGAAAAGCATTGCAAGGGCCACAGGGGCATGTTGCGTTGGTTACAGGACTCCCATGCGCAAACCCTTTGGGGTAGCCGTGTCTCTCGTTGAGCTTCCTGCCTGTAACACATATCACACTCCAGTGCAACCCACAGGACAACACAGAGGACCAGAGGACACAGCTGACCCTCCCCAAGAGAGAGAGGCACGTCCAGCAAGAGACGCCAGGAAGGGATTTGGTTGCTCAAACAGTACAGACCATGCCTCTGCCACCCCCACGGAGCTCATGTGCAAGAGGAGGAGAGAATTTGGCCTGGCCTGACTCTGCCAACTAAAGGGGAAAGGAAGAAGGGCACCAGGACAAAAACGAAGGGGAAATCACTTATGGGTCCAGCTTGATACCGCAAGTCCACCCACCAAAGGAAACCAAAGCCTGACAGGCCTCTCGGCAACTGGAGCCCTGAAAGGCTCTCCTCAAAAAGGCACCAGCACGACAGCCTTTTCTGCACCAAGCGAAGACTTTTCTCCTTGCTTTGGCACTTGGAAGGGTTGCATGGTCTGAACCTGCCTACAGTTTTTACTGTCTTTTAGAGGGTTTCAGTCTGTAGTTGTTAAAAAAACATGCAATTTGATCATACTTGCATTACACCTAAATAATGCATATGGATTAAATCCAGGATCTGCCGTCTGTGGACAGGATGAGTCCACCCACAGAAAGTGGTTCCACCTGATTTTTTTTTGAGGGGGGGGATCCCCCACCTAAACACACACCAGAGCTTAAGCCATCAAGCAGGGTCTCCTGCCCCCTAGGAGGACGTTTTGGGGAACAGGGAGGAGCTGCTACGGAGAGCAGGAAAGTCCGATCCCACCCTCTCAGCTGCGTGCAGTCAGGTCCTCTCTAACCCACGGTCTCTTGTTGGAATGAGGGATGCTTTAGAATGGCTCAAGTAGGCAAATAAAACAAGTCCAATTGTTTTGGCTGCAGGGCTTGGCCATCCAGCCACTGGAAAGTGTCGGAAGAAGCCGGGATGGATGCCTGGGGCCCAGAGGCTCATGGCAGGTTCGGGGCCATGAAGATGGAAACTCAGGCTACTTCTCACAGACTGCTGATGGAGCTGAATGTTTGGGTGCAGCAAAGTGCATTCCCACTCTTATCCCACACCTGGAGAACCATCTGCAAGAATTCAGCACTACGTATGTGCTGATACTCACAGCTGGCTGACTCCTCGTAAGAGCTGGTGGTCCCGAAGGAAGCCGAGGGTCTCCATTTGCGTGCCGGTTCCACTTTCTGTGGGCTAAAGAGAAATGTTCACACAGCCTGTCAGTCAGTGAGGGCCGTGCTGGCTTGGAAATGTTTTATCATTCACGTTTAGGGCTCTAGACAGAGAGTGTGCCCAAAAATCCACCTCTGTGAATCTGCCCTTATCAACGCCAGCAGACTGACTGTCAAGGGGGGGGGGGAGGAGAGAAACAGATTAAGTAAGAAAAAAAGATGTTAAGGCCTCTATTTGCCTTGTAACGGCTGCAATGTTTTGTGTATATTAAAACACACACACACACACACACACACACACAGGCTGTAACTTCTAGAGATCTGCTCACACTTTGTTATGTCAAAGTGCAGAGGCTCCCAAGAAAGCTTGGAGCAGACGGATACAGCAGCACAGCCACCTTCGTATCAGCAAAGGCGGTAAGTGGACGGAGGTGCTCCGCTAGGGAAGAAAAGGCAACCAAATTCAGAGTATTTCCTAAACAGCCCCGAGGCTGGATTAAAACAAAGACCAGCCTGGTGTTCTGCTTCTCAGTGAGATGCCTCAACGGGAAGCCCTACAGGGAGGACGGGAAAGCAAGAGCACCGTCTTCCAGCAGCCAGCATCAGGCAAGAATTGCCCCTCCTGCCCCAACTGTGTTCCAAAAACATTTAAAACAATGCTCACAGTGAACTGTTGTTGCCACGTGGCAACCCCCTCCCCGATTCCTGTGCAGTAAACATGATGACGATGAGTCTGATGTGGTCAGGACCACTGCTGTCCCATGGATCAGCAGAACCAACATCTGTCTGTCTGTCCGTCTGTCTGTCTGTCTGTCTGTCTGTCTGTCCCACCACTGGTCACTTCCGACAGCGGCCAAAATACAACAGCAAGTCCCAAAGATGGTAGACCTAGTTGGACCCCCCACACACATACACACACACGGGCTGTTATGTCACTTAGCAGCCAACTGAGTGGGTCTACTCGAGCTGGGAGCCAGAAGTGGATTTGGGCCACCATCTACTTTTGCCTGTTCTTACCTGGTCTCTTTGAAAGGCATCCTCATGATCCCTTGAACGAAACATATTCGGCTCAGCAAATACACCAGTGCAGATGATCTTTCCGTGGCTCCGAGGCCTTTCCCGTGGCGGTTGAGCTTTCCACTTTGCTCTTCTGCTACCGCAAAGTACTTACTGCGCAACTCCAGGACTTTGCTGGAAAAGAGGTTTGTCACCTCGTGCTGCTGCTGCTGCTGCAGTCCAGCGGCCCCAGGAGGAGGAGGAGTCACCGCCTCGCACCACCCAGGCAACCTCAGCGAGAGGTGGCTGTTCTGAGCAACAAGTCCCAGTGAGACCGGACGGAGGAGCCTCAGGGCCTCGAGGTGCCGAAGGCAGAGATCGTCCAGTTCCCTGTCCACACCCCACGGCAGGAGGCATGACAGGAGGAGCTTCCCAGCATCGGCGATGAGGTTCAGACTGATTCTTCCCGAGGGCTGCCTCCTCACCTTCTTGGAACTCTTGGGTTTCTTGGACCGCTTGGGGCCCCCGCTGCCCCCGCCGCCCCCTTGCTCCACCGGCCTAACGGCATGGCTCTCCCCGAAGGCTTGCTCTTCGGCAGCCATTCCGACTTGTCCGTCCAGAGGAGACAGAGACCCAGAGGTCCTGTTCCTTTTTAGCACCAGACTCCTTTTCTCAGCCGTGCTTTTGGCTCTCTTCAAAGTCTCATAGCTGTGGAACGAGTTCGAGGCCTTCAGCCCAGGGAGCTGAGAGGGCGGCAGCAACTCTACCAGTCTTTCCAAGTCAAAGAGAAGCAGGTGAACGTTTACGTTCTCCCATTTGGTCGTCAAAGGCAAGAGGGCAAAAGGCCTTCGGGCGGGAGAGGCAGCGGCTAACTGAAACAAATAAAAACGTTAGCAATACTAGCAGCAATGGCAGTAATAATATACTATCGATAAAAGGCAAATTACAAGAAAGAATTTCTAGAAGTCATACCATGTTGAAATACTAAGTCTCACTGGGTTAATGTTACAATGCATTATAATTGTAATTATGGTTGTAATTTAATATTTTGTATTACTTTGAGCTAAAAATATTGTGGAAAATGCAATGTACAATTTGAGGATGACTGTAACCAAGTCAAACATTACTTAAAAGAAAGCAAAATGCAACGTAGCAGCAGGAAGAGAAAAAAAATGTTATACCTTAAAATCAAAGCTGGGGACTAAACAATAAATGCCTGCTACATGGAAGCATCCTCTCATTCTAGCAAAAGACACACAAAGAGGCAGCCTGATGGGTTACCATGGCAAAAACATCATCACCACAGAAAAGCACGCTACCTTTTGGAGAGCAACGAGCAGGCTGTTGACTAGGAGTCATTTCCAAGCAACTTCCAGGCTGGAAATCCTTGGAGTCTCAGGCCCAGTAGCAGGATGTCCCGAGACAAAATGGACAGTGAAGCCCTGGCACTGATTTTATTTCCCAGGCAGACCGACACAGTAGCAAGGAGTCCCCAAGGTAAACAGGACTTAAGCCGACTAGAACCAACACTTTTAACAGAATGGCAAACTAAATGGGAAGCTGATGAAAGGAGCACAGGACCACAATTAGGGTTTGAGTTGTGAATGCTGGGCGATATCCTGGCTCCTGCATCGTTAGCCCTGTGAATTCCTGCATTTCTCAAAGCTGCATTTCTCTGCCACCACTGAGTCCCTTCTTAGGACCATCTCAAGTCAACTACAAGAATAAAACAGAGATGGGACTTATTGGGAATGAAACACCGTTTTGCTATAGAAAAAGGTGGCATGTTTTTGAAGTAAGACCAATAAGCGTAGCATCTGTAACCATCTATGTCGCTGGCCAGCCACACCCTGCCTGTCCAAGACCCACCGTCTCTTGGCCCAGGGGAGGAGAGGCTTCGGGCCGGCTGCTCTCTGGGAGCCCTGGTGATCCAGAAGCCCTGCGCCTCTGGGAGGCTGCATCCTCTTTGTGGAGCTTCCCTGACAGGAGAGGACAACCATGGGCAGACTAGGCCAGCGGCAGCCCCCCCCCCCGCTGTTCCTGTCCATGACGTCCATGCAGGAAGAGTCTCGGGCCACTGGGGTTTATCCCACCAGGGCCAGCAGAGGTCTCTCCGGAGGTCTGGGGACGGACCACCTCCAGGCGCCCTTCTGTCCGGTGACAAGCAAGCCCAGCAGGAGTCGTTCGGTGACGAATGCCTGAAGGTTCAGCTCACCAGTCGAGCACACGCTAGTTGCTCCACAGGTACCCATGGGCTGCTTCCAAGGGAGCAGCGTCCAGCTTTGGCCTTGCGTTTCTTCTTCAGCCCAATGGAGCACATCAGCACTCATAGCAGAGTTTCTCCTCTGTTGATGCAGCAGAAGCGGCTGCAAAAGCACCAGATTTTGGTGTGTTTTTTGCAGAGGTATAAATAGCTGCACGACTGAGAGTGCCGCTAGGAATCCACCCCTTTACTCAGACCGAGAAGGTGCAGTGACCCCTCTCCCTAATGGAGCAGGAACGGATCACTTTCTCTGCAAATATACCACATGATTGCATTTCTTGGTTCCCTTGTGGAAGGTGAAAGCTTTGGTAGCTCCCCTCACATCTCTGTTTACACCAATCCTGCCACAGGACGAGGAAGTCAGAATGCCTGAAAAATTCAAATCCTCTGGTTCCTAATGGATGCTTGCATTTCAAGTGAGCACAACGGAATTCCTAGAAGCTGGTGAACCCCAGTGGGAACGAGCCTTTAGAGATAAAAAAAGGTCACCTGGCGAGATAGCATTTTCACTGCACTTTCCATAAAATGTTTATGTGGTGGGTCTGAGTTGGACCAGTTGAGGTTAATAGCACATATCAATATGTTGGGATAGGAAGGAATGGGTAGCGTGACCTTCACCCCTTCAAACAGGGGATTAGCTCTCTGCGCTCAGTTTTGTTTCAGACTCTTGTTTAAGAGCAGTAAGCATTAGCAGAAATGGTTGACTTGCTGAACTGCACGAGGTACAGTAGGTATCCCTCCAAGTGAGGAACTGAAGCAAGAGGAAGAGAAATAGCTGAGGATACATATTCTTCCATTTCAGGTATCCTCTTAAAGAGTCTTCATCTCCCAAAAGGTATCTTTATTCCATCCCAATCTGTATTCTGGCCATTTTAAAAAATTCATTTTCAAAACATTTTAACCAGCTTCAGAGCCATAGTCCATCCAAAGTCATGGGGATTCAACTGGGACAAGCAAAACTGGAGACCAAGAGCAGCAACCCAGAAGGTGGAGGAGTCAGAACGTTGCTGAGGGAATGATCCGAGTGAATGGGAAGGTGTGGGTTGGCGCAGGCAGCCTTCCTGCTGCTCTTCGACTCACAAGAACGGCAGGTGGGCCGGTGCCCTTGCAGCCACATGACCCATTAGGGGAAGCGTGTCCTGCTGAATTCTCAGGAGTACTCCACAGACCAGATTCTGACAGACATTTGAGTCTGAGAAATCAGACTTGCAAACAAAGCTTGGGTTTGCCTCCAAAAGATCAATCAAGTAACAAAGCAAGCTAATCTGTAAAGTAGGGAGGTGTAAGAAGCTTGTGCTGTGGGAAACAGAGGCTTTTAGCAGGTTGAGGAATGGCCTTTTCTAATAAGTGCTCTTGCTACTTATAGTTTGGCCCTGAAATAAGCAGATCCTCATCCCAAAATGGTTTAAACCACATTTGATCCTTCCTTGTGAATTTTGGAACATTCATGGTAACTGTTCCAGCCAACATCTTTTTTGGCGCTTGCATGAAGCCGGAGCATAAAAGCCCAAGAAATAAAATGAAATGAAATAAAAACCCAAGGTAAGGAAAAGCTGCTCTCTCTCTCTCCTTCATATGAAATAACTTTGTGTCTCCATCAAAAGGTATGTACATCCTCACGTGGAATGAGGTGGTCAAACCAACATCCGAACACGTCAGCCTTCCAAATGGCCAGGCAGACACGTTAGCTGAAACTCTGGCTATTCGTTCTGAAATCCTCTGGGCTGCCAGCAATGGGAAGCGAAAACAACCCCCCTCTCAAAGCCCCCCCCTCTTTGAATTGTGTTCAGCAGGCAGAAGTCTGATGACTGGCAGCACAAATTGAAGGCAAACAAGCAGCCCAGCAATTGCAGCTGATGCATCTGGAAGACAGACCCCAGGAGCTCAGCTGACAAGAGTGAAAGCGTTATCAAGCTAATAGCCAAGGCCATCTTTGGTGCACTGTGCCTCTCCACCAGCAATGGGACCCCATTTGTTCGCTCGCTTTAAGTGCAAAAATACCTTCTTCTTTTGTTTTTTGTTGTTTTTTTATGGCGGGGGGGGGAAAGCAACCAGGTGCATGTAACCTACTGACTAGTAGTAACACATTATTAGGTCAGATGCCTCTTGTTGTCTTCCAACTAGGGTTTTGCTGTGTATTCCTGCACTCGTGACCTATTCGAGTGGGTGGGTGTTCTGGCCAGCTCCACTGTGAGGCCAGCATCCCCTAAGCTGAGTCCCTCTGCTCCAACTGAGCTGGCAAGGCGCACGGGAGGTCAAGAAGCTCCTTTGACCTTCTCAGCTAACTCCCCCTGACCACTTGCTAGGGAGCGCAATCTCCCCCGAACAGATGGGCACTCTGGCAGGCTCCGTAAAGTGAAGGAATATCAAGATAAATGGAATTGCGCTTCCATCTTCCAGCCAGTTTATGAGCATAAAATATTGCTTCATGAAATCAACAAACATTTTGGATGGGAAAGTCTACAACGCAGCAAGCCATTTATCCTGGACTACAAAGGCCAGGAGAAATTTCTTTCTGGGATTTGATTTCTTCACAACGAAAGTATCCCAAAGAGGCTAGCATTCCTATGAAACAAAAAGCATTGAGCTCCCGGGGTCTGTCTTCCAGATGCACCAGATGCAATTGCAACCCCACTGCTCTCTGGTGTCAAGTGTGTGGCCCTCAAGGTGGGTGTCTGAGTTAACATTGCTGACTTCCTTGGTGATCTTGCTGCCAGATCTCCCTATTTCTGCAGCAGAGGCCCCAGCCTGTAGCTTCTCCCAAGCTCTGGAAATACCTGCCTGGGGAGGAGGAGCAGGGGCAGGACACCCCCACCTTTTCTGCCTTCCTGCAGAAGTTGATCTAGACTGCTAAGTGGAAAAGTTTTGCCAGATTGGGGGGGGGGGTGGAAGACCCATCTAGTCCATCATTCTGAGCCTCAAGTTAAACAAGGCATAGGAAGAAAGCAGGCGCTTTTCGTAGACCGGAGCATCGGAGCCCCTCTCTCACTGCCTCCTTTCACGTGGGGTAATGTGTAAAGATTGCCTGTTTGGTATTTTCAAAATTCTTGCGGTGAAATGGCTGCAGTGGCAAACCACAACAAAAATGGGCTTTGTCCATTGAAATGCTTGTAATTAAAGTTCCATTTCTGCTCCCATCTGCTACCAGCCAGGTATCCTAGCAACCGGAGATTGGCAGGCAGCCATAGCTTTGCCCTCACTCTGACAGACCCATACAGAGATCAGCTCCAGGGTTTTCTCTCTAAAAACTAGATCACTTTATACAGGCTTGGGAGGAAACCTGAACAAGCAAAAGAGAAGGATTTGTCTCCATGAAAACCGCAGCCGAGGGTCGACTTTTCTCTCAGTGCAGCAAAACTTCTCCATCCCGTTCGACACCTGCCAAAGCCTCCCGTGAACAGCTGCAGCCAAGCTGCCCTCTTTACAGCCAAACCCCTTGTCTACCCAGGGACACTGGTGAGAGGTGCATTTTTGCATTGACCCACATTGATCACACCAGGAGAAAGAAGGCTGGTCCTTTCAGCATCCACACTGGACCTAATAATAATCTCTGAGTTGCATGAAACTGGGGCACTTGGCCTCAGCAGCTGCAACATCCACAAGAAGAGATGCCAGGCTATACGTCCTGGGCTCTGCTCTGGCAAAGTGCACTCAGGGCATGATCCAATGCTCCACACAAGGAAGCACTGAAGACGACTTCCATTGAAGAGATCTAAGTGGCCGATTGACTTAACTCTCATTTTCAATTTAGTGGGACTTGGAAGTGCTGGCTGGATCCGATCTTCCCTTCTAGGGCTCTGGGCAACTGCACCTTAAGCTAGCTGTAGCAGTTTTAACCTTAAACCAGATTGATCATACAATTTACTGTAAACACAAAACAAAATCTTGCCAGCCAGATCCATTTAAATAACATTATCATCTGCTCCTGCTTTCCTCCTGCCACCATGTATCCTGCATACATCATTTTATAGATGCTATTTATCAGAAACTGATGATGATGATAAAACAGTTCTGCCCTATTCCCACACCTTTAGTGACTTCTGCAGAAGCAGAGAAAGTCCTTCTTCCACATCAGAAAGCCAAACCATTCCATTTTTTAAAAATGAAGTGAATATATATATAAAAGTCATAAAAGGAAGTCTCCTCATAAAAAAGGAAAAGCAAAGTCATAAAAGGAAGTCTCCTCATAAAAGAAAAAAGGAAAAGAAACACACTGTGTGTGTGTGTGTGTGTGTGTGAAGGGGGGGAGTGGATTGGAGGAAGCAGGTGAAAGAGAAAGGGAAGAAGCCTCCCTCGGTGCAGCCCAGCTGCTGGCCAGCCACCCACCCGCCTGCCCACGGCCTGAGTCCAAGGCCTCCCATTCGGAGAGCTGGGCTGACCTTTCCACACACTCACCCAGGGCCAGGAAGGCTTTTCATGATGGGCAAAGCCACTGCAGGAAGAAGAGGGAGCAGCCGATTTGTAGGAGCGGGAGCGTCGTTCCGCATCCGTGCTCGGCTTGTGTGTGTCATCCTCAAGAGCTGGGCGCAAAGAGTCTGCCGTTGCCCCGATGGAGTCTTCGCCACAGGCAAGGATCGCCCTGGCCATCTCCCCGCTTTCCTGGCGCTCCAGAGCTCCTAAGCAGAAAAGCGAAAGTGGTTGGGAAGACTCTCGTGGCCCGTCTGGTCCCACCCCTTCACTGCCATCGGGCGAGGCTGCTTGAGAGATGCCGGCAGATGGACCCGGAGCTCTCGGCATCGACCCCTCACGCCCCCTCCTGCTGCACAAGGACCCCTCTCTCTTTCGTACAGAGTGGAAGAAGACCACCGGGAAGGTAATAATAGGCTAAGGCTCTCACCCTTTTTAAGAGACCTCAGAATTTTAAAAGGGGGGACAGTTTGCCCTTTGTTTGTAGGCAAAGGATACAAAGAATAACTTTTCTGTCATCCAAAGAAGTGTGCTTGGATACAGAAAAGCTTACGGAAAAAGAAAGAAAGAAAAATAGACACTAGTTCATCTCAAAGGTGCTACGAGACCTCTGTCTTAAAAGTGAAATGTCACAAAAGTAGGCAACGGCTGTGATGCCTCCAAGTCAGCAGGACTCACTACACAACAACCTTCGTAGGGTTGTGCAGCAATGATCACCAGGCAAAGCAGCTTTGTTGCTGCTGTGTATGTGTCAAGCACCTCCCAAACAACACCGACACAGCAGGCAACCACTTCAACTCTCCCAGGCAAGGAAAAATCAGAGCTTCCCAGCACAAAACTGACTAAATTAGATTACTGGGAAATCAAGATGCAAACGTATCCTGTGGATTTGTGGGTTGTGCAGAAAGCGCCATGGACAGATGGTTGCCGGTTATTGGCCAGTGCCTGTAACAGCTGGAGTGACCAGTGGCAGGATTCCTGCCTAAGCCGAGGGATGAACCGTTTTCTTCTACTACTTCTTTTAATGCTAGACCCTTTGGTTCAGTGCAGGGGCCTTTTAAAAATAAAAATAATGTTGACAGGCTGACTGACTGCTTCTCATGGGGGAAAGGGGGCAGATGCAACTCCCCACATTAAACACACAGACACACACACTCCTCTGCACAGGCATCTCTTTCTGGCTTTGCTCTGCAGCTCAGAACAGGAACATGCAAGCAATAATGCAAAGCCTCAGCACTTGCTCAGCAAATATTTTAACACCACAAGTTCCAGAACATCTTCGTCATGCATTGCAGCAGATTCTAATATATGCGGAGGACATCAGGACGACAAAAGAGGAGAATGTCACTGAGGCTCCGTCCTTACGTTGGGACGTCCATCCAGTTGGAATGGATGGATGGAGAGAGAGAGAGAGAGAGAGTTTTACACACACACACACAGAGAGAGAGAGAGAGAGAGACAGACAGACAGACAGACAGACAGAGAAATCCCCCTTACAAAAGTTTCACCTCTGAGGAAATCCATCACAACGTACACATTGGTACAGACCCTATATAACCAGAGCAGTCAACACATCCATAGAGCATTTGAATGCTGTCCTCTAGTGTTCTAGGTATCAAATAACAGGAGGCAGGAGATCTTTTTCTGCTCCCTCCGTTTTCTTTCTGACGGGGCCCCAAATGCTCCTGTTGATTTCGAGGGCTGAGAGGGGCAAAGGGTCCCAGGCAAGTTTCCCTCTGTCCTCCTCAGGCCTTAATTCGGGCCTTAATTCATCTTTACTGGAAACACAAGGCCTCTGAAGGTCCAAGCCCCCAAAGGCGTCTTCCACTAACTCTTAGGTGCCTGGACGTCCCACAGTCTCCTTCCGCCTGAGGCTTGCCATACTGACCACCCTCCCGCCACCTTGGAGCAGAAGCACTGCTGCTCGAGGGAACCCTTGGCCAGGTATTAGATAAGCAATGTCCCAACCAGGCCATCAGCACACCAGAGAGGACACAGATTTCCCTGGACTGTGTCTGGCATGAGGCACACATAAAAATGGTGCCCCCATCCTCCGACACAGTCAAGCCCATTCCCCTTACACCCCCCCCTTTGCTCAAGGAGATGCTGAAGTGGTTTGCACTGGATGCCAGCCAGGAAGCGACCTGGGAGCCTCTACAACCTCAAAGCTCAAAGGGCAGCACTGATCACACTTGCCTCACTCCCTCACAAAACGAGGCAGCCGCCCCTCAGTTGTGCAAGTTGTGAGCCGAAGTGGAGCAGGTGTGAAGGGTCTGGTCAAGGTGCCCTTGGGGGCCCCTGTCGCCGGGCGGGCTTTGGAAAGGCTGAGGCTTGCTAGAAGCTTGGGGATGGTCCTGCCGGTCAGCCTCAGGGCAGGACACGGGCCTTGGGTTGTTGTTATTTCAGTATCTTACGCACAGCACTCTTACACATGCGGTGACCACATCCCAGGAATGCCAGAACTGTTGCTGTGCTGGGTCAGACCAAGGATCTTCCTTGTCCAGGACCCCTGGCGCCCATGGCAGACCCTGGGGTGCACACAGGAAGCCCAGGAGCAAAATGTGGACACAGAACCATCCTCCTGCTTGTGTCCAACATGTCTTTTTTCTTCTCTTTGAAACATGATTATAATTTAAATTCTGCTTACAACTTAAGTTTTGTTTTTGAATGTACTGTTGTTTGCATCTCCTTGTAGTTGTAACAATTTCAGATGGCAATCACACCTGCAGTTGCAAGAATGGACTTCTGTTTAAGCTTTCAACTCTACGGTTTCCCTTGTTCAGTGGTACCTCGCCTTAAGAACTTAATCTGTGTAGCTGTTATAATGTTTTCAATACATTTGTTACTTTTGGATTTCATTTCATGCCTATGAAACATGGAAACAATGTAGATTAATGAAGTTTATAGAATTACAGTAGAGGAGCTGATGTTGTTTGTAATTATTTCAACAATGAAGCAACTTGCACCTTGATACCTAGATGCACGTTGGTAGGACTGGAAGTGGTTATCTGATTTCATTCCAAATTTAACTTTAAATGGGATCAGTGCCACCTGTGACAAACATGGGCTTCTGACTTTTCCTCAAGGGCTTTTAGGAAGCTGTTCAGACATCAGCATTTCTGACCTGGCAGGAGAACACAGAGCAGGACCTCTGAGAAATATCTCAGTAGGCAGGCAGCTAATCATTCACTACTTAGGATTTGAGGGGAAGTACAGTAATTTTGGTTCTGATTTTAGCTCTTCAGCCAAAAGTTAAGGTTTCCTTGCAAATCATCCAAACAAAAAAGGCAACTCAGAAGGAGAGAAGTCTTGGGTTACCTGTTTCAATGTCCCAGATATAGATGGAATCATTTTCACACCCAACGATCAACAGATTTTGCACAGGGTGCCAGTGCAGCCTCTTCACTGGGAAAAGGTGTTTCCTGGCGTGCAAGATGCAGGTTCGCTCTTGGAGGTGCAAAAGCACCACAGAATGGTCACCACACAAGCAGCACACGAGCCGATAGCTTTTAAACTGCAGAGACAGGTCAAAATAGCCATTCTAAGTGGTGCTGTTTCTGGCCTGCACACACACACACGCACACATTACAAACACGTAGGTGCACGCATCCCACACGAGAAAATAACAGGTGATGACACGCCATGTGTCTGGGCCCATGAAAGGAGGTACGTATACACAGGCACGTGCTCAATTCATAAGCGCCTGGAGCAAAGCAAAGGCAGTAGGATATGGAAAGGGATCGGCCCGCACTTCTGGCAATCCAGGTGGGGCCGAAAGGCAAACGGGAGAAGTCCAGGCCTGAAAATGGGACTAGAGGGGGACTGCCCAGCTACCCACCCCGGCAGCTTGTCTGCTTCTGTCTCCTGAGGTCTGGCCAGTTTTGTCCCCTGGTCCTGTTACTCAGCCTACCTTTCCAAAACTACAAAAAGAATTAAGACAGTTGGTTTTGGGGTTTTGTTGTTGTTGTTTTGACATGGCCTTTGTTGCTGGAATTGGGGGTGTGGGAGGATATTAGAATACTGCTTTAAAGAACACATTTGTCAGCTGCAAAGATGTATGCAAAGCATGGCAAGCCACTCCTCCAGCACAGAGAGGACAAGGCATGGGACTGAGCATGGACAGAACTACAGCCATGCATGTCCCACAGGTGCAAAGAATGGCCCTCGGCCCTCGGCCCCCTCCTCCATGGGGCACTTACTCGGTAGTTCTCTGAGGACAGCAGCAGATCTGTGACAGGACCAGCTTGCAGAGAAAAACAATGCAAGATTTTCCCCGTGAACATGTCCCACCAGATCACGCAAGAATCCTGGCTTCCTGACACAAGCCAACTGGGATCAAACCGGGCTGAGCAGCCATGAAGATAAAGCAGGGATGTGACGCTGCTGCTGTGGCCGTGGAGTATCCGGTGAGGCAGGGAGTCTGAAAGAAAGAGAGGGTGGGCAGGATGGGAGGGAGGGACCTCAGCAGCAGCCTTCCTCTCGCCCACACGGGAGCTTCTGGGTGCAAGCAGCAGACATTGTGGCAAAAGGCAGCTGGCCATGGTGATGTTTTCCAGGCTTTGTTGTCACCCCACCTGGGAACCCTGCATTTAACAACGTAAAGTACCAGCCAGAATGCCAGCAGATCTCCCTGGGCAGCGGCTTACCTTTCAGCAAGGAAGGATCGTCCATGAGCCAGACCTTGGCCGCCGTCAGAGCCGGGACTACGAAGATCCGGCCATCTGCACACCCACACACCAGTTTATTGAGGCTGGGAATGTACACGGAGGACGTGGTGGCGGTGGTGGCCTTTCTGGGGGCCCCGTCGCCTCCACAGAGGTGTTCCACCATATCTATGGCCATTGGGCTGTGCTCATCAAAGCAGTCCTGAAGAGTACAGGAGGCAGCAATTGGAATCTCTGTGGAGAAAAGGAGACGCCTCCTGAAGAACAACTCTTTGGAGACAAGGAGGTGACCTCCTCTCTCACTTTTCTGAGGTCGTCCTGCAGTCAACCTGGTTCAGCACTGATCCTGCTTTTAAAGCAAAGCTTATGTTTCACTGTGGCTGATCCTGCCTCTCAAGAAGACGCTGTCCTGGGTTCTGTCTGTCTGTCTGCCAGGTACATGTATTTGTTTATCATGAGATCCATATAGATCTGTTCATTACAGTGACATCCGACTTCTCCATCAAAACACTGCCTAATGTATCATTCATATATAATTGCTGTCTTCTGAGTTCAGCCCAGGCAGCTAAAATGAATCCCTGAATTAAACTGGAAAATGAAACAGGAGTTTTCTGTTCATAGCAGGCCTTCAAATTTTAGGATGCAGGATTCTAGGGCTTGATAATGTTTCCTTAATTTGTTTATTTGTCAGTGTAGTCAACTTCTCTTCAGTCAAATAAGTCTCTATAGAGCAACTTCCCTTTTTAACAAGAAATGGTCTAAGAGATTTAGGAATCCATACCTTTTGGGGAGCCATCCAGTGTTGACGCTGGTACATCAGGAATATGCCACAAAGTGATCCTCCCAGAAGCTTCTCCAGAGTAAAGAATCTTATAAAAAGGCTCCTTTCTTTCATTTATGAAGCCCATAATGTAAGAGAAACTCTGTTTAGGCAAAGCCCCCAGAGAACAACAGTGTTAATTATATGCACCAAAAAGAGAGAGAAAGAAAGAAAAAAGAAAGAAAGAAAAAGAAAGAAAGAAAGAAAAACAAAATACCCCCCCCAAATCCTGATAGTTTTCTTGTGGTTCTATCCTTTTTTGGGGGGGGACAGGTCATTCCTCAGCTGCCTGGAGAGCTACCCAGAGCCGGTTCAGTACATTGTTCATGTGACCTTTCTGTATTCCCATTGTACAGATTTTCCATCCCCCCCCCCCTTATGGAGGCCTCCAAGCAGCAGGAGCAGAAGACCTTTGTCAAAATGAGCACAGTGGGGGAGCAAGGCCTTCATTTCGTGGGAGGCCCCGATGCCCACCTGATGGCTTTACCTTATTCTCTTCCACACCAGTAGAACAAAGTAAGACAGGATGAACCGTTTCTTTGAGCACTCCTCCATGAGATGACGGGATGCTTCGCGAAAGGCCACTAAATAAATGGGGGTGGAGAGGTGTGCCTCAAAGGGACAGGCAAAGAGAGTCCCAGGCACCCCCCATCTCAGTGAAATGTCATTGCACCCACTCTCTCCTCAGCCCACCCTACCACTACCCCCACCCCCAAGTTGACTCTCAATTTGATAAGTGATGAAATCATGTCACCATCACACCAGAGGCTAATTAAGGAGGCCCAGGAGAGTTTGTAAGACATATTCAGCACACACACACACACACACAGAGCTGAAGTGGGTTGGTTCCACCTTCAATCCTGGGCGACATGGAAGCAATTTCCGTATTAAGCCGCCCCCCCTGCCCTGACATTCAGCTGATGTCACAAGTTTTTGGCCGCCCTTCCCCCCTGAGCCCACCTGTTCAGCAGCTGGTAGATGTAGCCAAGGCCCCCCTCCGTCCAAATGATCAGCCGGTGAGCCGCCAGGACTTCACCCCCAGAAAAGCACTGGCCACTTGGGCTAAATTCAGTCCACAGCAAGGAAAAGTCACAGTAATCATACACCTAAAGCCAAGAGTGGGGGTGCGGGGGGGGAAAGGGGGAGCAGATGTGCTTTTCGTTAGACATGCTGAAATGGATAGAGATCCCTCTGTTGGGAAAAGGAAGAGTTGGTTTGGGGTCAACTTTCACTCCATCCAGTTCAGGTCCCAGGATGGGACTCCTCCAAGCCCAGAGACCATCCCCATTATAAATGGCAGTCCCATCCATGAGCCATTCTAAAAATTCAAAAGACGATCCAAGTCCACAAAGCAGCAGAGCCAGAAACCACTAAACATTGTGGCCCTGATCCCAAATCTCCCTGAGATCGATGCCAAACGGGCAGGGAGCAGGACAGGCAGCTCCTGCCAGCACAGAGGAAGGCAGCTGGTGTAAGAACCCCTTCACAGCCCCCTTTTCCCAGCAGAGGGGACAGTTTTAGGGCAGGGAGTCCCCTGCCAACCTGGCACTCCCTCGTTGGCCAGAAGAATTTGCCAAGTCAGGAAGAACACCTCGCCCATGACCTCTGCGAGAAACTCTGGCAGAAAATGCCCAGAGGCAGGAGCCTAAAATTATAATCTTTCCAGATCAATTTAACCTGGATAGAAGATTGCTTTAATTCTATCTAGAATATAGAAATAGCATTTGAAGAGTAACCCCCTAATACTGTTTAGCTTAGCTTTTCAAACTCAGCAAAATGTCATCTTTAGTGAAACTGAAGTAGGATAAAGTCTTCAATTTGTCATCGTATCAATATTGTAGGGGTGCCGTTCCAATGTTATGATGGCCATATGGGATCCTTTCCCCTTTCCATTCACCATTTGGGATTCCCTCAACTTTTGAAGTTCTGCACCAAGAAGAGGGAGGCAATCCCACATTCCATTTTACAGCTCATACCTTCCAGCAGGAAGACGTCACGACTAAGAGAAGCCTTTCCGTGTAGGTGCAAAACCGGATGGACCGGCAAGGCGCGCAGTCCAGATCCTGGGATTCCCTCTCGTGAACACATCGCTGGTCCTGCAGATGAACAGCGAAAGAAGTGGTAGAGGAAGGAAGACCCCACCAGGCGGGGGGGGCAGGGGCAGCAGCCTCCTATTTTGTCCTTGGGGAGGGGGGGAAGCTCCTCGGCTGCTGCCTGTACCCTAAAGGAGAAATGAGCCAGGCGAGAGGGGGGCAGGATTCACGGGTGGCCCCTGAGGCTGTGGTGGTGGGGTGACTCGGCCATTCATTCCTCCCTTGGCTTCCCTGCCCAAGAGAAAGGCAGGAAGAGGCGAGCAACGCCGTGGGTGGGAGCCTGGAGGCAGCCGTTGAGACCACATGTCTTTCCTCCTCCTCCTGCAAAGGAGGAGTGTGGCACCAGCCACATCCTCCTGGCGCCCCAGGCTCCCCCAGCCAAAGTGCAGGCTGGAGCCCTGGCGTCGCTGCCCCAGGGCGGCTCTGTCCTTTCTTTGGGCTTCCCTTTGTGGTGGGCCATGGCAACAAACGCCAGCTCAATTTCAGAAAGGTGGTAAGGAGTTGCCACTAGTTTACGGCCCCTTTACAGTATCTCACAAGACCAGTGTTTGGAAAACAAACAGGTGGGAGAGGGCTGTCACCCTCCTAGCTGGCTTGGAGGGGCCTCTGACTGCCTATGGTGGGACGCAGGATGCTGGACCGGCCTTGCCTTGATCTTTGACCCTTGGTGGCTCTGTGTGCCCATCCTGTTGCCCAGAGAGCCAAGCCAGGAAGGCCTTCTTCAGTTCCCAGATCTCAGAACAGTCCAGGCCCCTGGGGGAGGGATGGTCCTCTCATCACACACCTAGGCTATGCTTTTGTTCTTCCTCTGCCTGCCACTCTTTTGCCGCCCCCCGCCCCCCCCCAAAGTGACCCAAAGTTCTCTGAAACCTCCTCTGTCTGAAACAAAACGAGACTCCAGATGGAGCAGCTCTGTTCAGAACAAGCCAGTCTGGACAACAATGTTTGGCCGGTGGCGCTTCCGTATCTGGGGACAGGCTCTCCGCAGGCTCTTACCTGAATCCTACTGACAGAAGAGGACAGATCCCACACTTTGAGGTCTCCTGCCACGGATACGGCTATTAAGGAATCCTCTGTGGGAAAGCAAGACAAGGCGAGACTCAGTGAGGAGGGTGAGGAAGAAATGGGAGATAGTTGGGCTCCTTCCAGAGAGAAGAAAAAGGGCAGAGGGGGCCACCAGGGAGGAGAAGACAGGAACGATGAGGTGAGCATGCGGGACAGCCGAGGCAGAGTCCCTGCTCACTCAGGAGGAGAGGGCAGCCGACGATTCCCAGTTCCCCCCTCCAGCCCCTAAGTAACACGGGCCAAGGCAATCTTGTAATCTTGGAGCTGGCATGGTGTAGTGCTATAAACACAGATCGGTCATCATCATCGCCCCCCCCCCGGCCCAGCTCAAACAAAACCACCCATCTTTTTCATGGCATAGGTACCTTGAATCCTCGGGGAGTGGACTAAGCACATGCAGCTGATCCAGTCCGACGAGTGAGAAGAGGTTAAGGCATGAAGCACCACCAGCGTTTTGGCATCGATCACAAGGATATCGTTATATTGTCCACAACAGAGGAGCCATCCTTCCCCCGTCATGCGGAACGAGCTGTGGTAATACTGAGCAGAGGGGGGTGGGGGTGGGGGAGAGAGAGAGAGAACCGCAGCAGGTGAACCAAGGAGGCCACACAACACCCACAAAAGGCTGCTTTCTATTATTGGCCTCTCGTTTGTGCTCTTGGAAACGAAATGCCAGCAAAGGCATCTTTGGGCTACCCGGAGGCGTGCAGAATGTGGGGAATTCCCTGGCTGGCAAACCCAAGCATGGTCGGGCACCAGTCCTTCATGCCAGGCCAAGGATGGGAAG